AATAGAAAAGAGTCAATATTCTTCAAAGCAGTAGGAAAACCTTCCTTTGATTCTGCTGCGATTTCAGACCACTTTTTAAATATGTACTCCTCTGCTTATTTTATGATCCATGTAGATCATTTCCTTTAGATGGTGATTTTTTTTAAGGATAACTTTCAAATTTACATTCCATGTTAGAGAAACATAGTGATTATAAACACGTTAATGATGTAATCATGTTTATAAAGTTGTATCTAATAATAGCAGTATTTATAAAGTGGAAAATACACCCTGTATAAAAATGGTGACTTTAATTCTATTTCTGTTCTTACATATTCCTGTTATGTAAAAATTCATCTCCCATCTCTTTTCATTGTAGTCACTTGGGACTCCGCCTCAACTTAATTTTTTCTTGCTGTTTTCCATTCCTATAACTTACTAGGTCTCCTGAACATCTTTTGGGCAGATCTACCAAATTAGGGAATTACAGAAAGAGAAAAAACACAGTGCTCTTTCAAGTGGTGAAATATGAAGATAAAGTATACCCTGTATTGGCTAGCTTTGTATTCTTCAACTTCTTCCTAAGTTGTTCTCTTTCACAAGATAGCACTAAGTATGGTGGAAAAAGCTTTGGACCCATGCTGCCCACTTATATACTGCACATCAAATTTAATAGTAACATTCTGGCTTTAATTAAACTTTTCCTCTTATAAATCTCAGCCAAGGTGATCTGATTTATAGAGGAAATGAGCACCCAACAGTGTTAGTGTAATGATATTAAATAGATGAAACAAGGTAAAATAATCACTAATAATCTGTGGGGATGGGGGACACAGAACCTTCTGCATATGTGTCCACTCTGCAGTTATGCATCTGTGCTCACAGCATTCACTCTTCAGTTAGTTTTGGTTGTTGGAAGAGTTAAAAATTTCCTGGATAGTTCAGTCTTGACCAGCTAGAATACTGGCTGTATCTTGATCCCTTTGACCCAATCACTTTGGCTTAAAAGAACCTTACTCCATTTACATCTGTAGCAAATGAAGGTGTACCACCTTTTTCAAGGGTTATGTATACTTTTCTTGCCTTATCTCCCTACTTGTGAGTGATGGGGTTACAAAGACTGTACACTTTCAGCTGTAAACCTTAATTAGAGAAAACCTGAATTTTCTCATCTGATTACTTTGAAAAAGGGAGCATTTCTTAGGAATAGGAACTTTAAAAATGTAGGCCAGTTTAATCTTCATAAGAGGAAAACTCAAAACAAAAATATTGTTTAGATCTAGGAAAGTGCCTTAAACTCTCATCTGTGTTCAAAAGAAAACAAAAATCCTAATGGAGAGAAAGAATGAAAAGGAAAAAAAAAGAAGAAGAAAAAAATCAACCCAAGCTGTGCATTTCTTTATTTCTTCTCTAATATCATTGGAACAGTGTCACAACTGGGTGCTCTGTGTGTGTGAATTTTGATTTTCTTCTTTCATCAATTTCCTCTATTAACATGATGTTCTTGAGTCTTTGTATTTAGAATCATTATTCAGAAAAAAAATTAAATCAGAGAAGGTTTGATTATCTACATTTTCACCTTTTTGTGAAGCAAATAAGGTAAGTTCAGCAGACACTAGCTAGGCTGAAATACTATTAAAAAATGCAATTCAGTCTGAGTCACTGCTAGTTATTTTTATAAGCGAGACCCTAATTCTGATTGACCCCAAAGAATGGGCTGCTGTGACTGAGCTAGCAGCAGAAGCGACTGGCTTCTGCTGGATGTTATCTCATTTGGAACACATTTCAAACTTTAGAACAGATTTTTAAATTCAGAGTTGAAACCTGCAGACCATCAGCAAACGAGGCTGATTCACCCCTATAAAACTTATCTTACTACGTAAGTTCCAGGCAGAGTTTTTTTTTAAGGACTAGGTTACCTAAAATATGTCGTGATACATCAAAGAGAGAGAAAAATAAAAGACAAACACCTCCTGGAATAAGAGTGATATGCATCTAAACATTTTTTGGACTTTAATATATGCTTATTTGAATGGGGGCTTCTTTAAATTAGAATCCTCTAGTTCAGTATAACTTGTCAGTGTTCACAGATCTCTGAAAGGTTAGTTAATTTTTTTCTGCCTCATTTTTTCTGCTTTTTTTCAATTGCTTCATATATTTGCTTGAACCCCTATGGTAGGGCTTCCTCATGTGGAACTTTTTGAGTCATATCTATAATGCCATTATTACTATTGGGTAAATTTGAGTGAAGGAAGTACAATCTTGGCAAGATGAGAAATAAGGAAAATTTTATATTGGTAGTGGTGAATTCTTTATTAATTGGCTGTTGCTTTCATTTGGAATCATAGAGAAGTTATCAAAAGTCTAGATACCCGGAAACTGTGGAAATACTCTTGGGTTCCTGAAATTAGAAGAACTACACAAATGACAGTAATGGTTTTGACCTGGAATAAATGTCATGAAAGGACTTGGGGAATACTGTCTTGTCTGTGAAGGGAAAGCTGTTATATGCTTATTATCTTAGATAACAAAATCCATGATGCAGTTGAACTGCAGGGAGAAATGCATGGTGTGACCCACTAGAGGTCCCTTCCAACTAAAAAAAGTTTCCATAGTTCAAAGGATTCAGCCTCAGTAAGTTGGCATTCCGGACTGCAAAGCGAGTAAGGGCCAGAAGGGGGGACTGCACATTTTACTTCCCTAGGGAGAAACATGGTTTCATTCAGATTATTTGTCATATTTATCGCTCTTTTTTTTATCCTTGTGTGGTACAATCACTCAGTTAGCTCTGGTTAGATATTCAGAACCTGTTGTTCCAAGTTATTGATACATTTGGAAAAAGGAAGTGTCATTTGATGTCCTGGAGCTATAGTTGTGCTATCTATTGATATTAGCTGTTTTCAAGTATCTCAGAAAAATATTTTGCAAGAGAGATTTTTGCTTAAAAATGAAGAGTGCTTCAGTAAGTTTTTACTTGCAAAGCTGATGGAAGTAGTGGGTGGAGGAGGTAATCTACACATTTTCTGATAGTAGGCAACTTAGTAGAAAATGATTGTGTTTCTATATATTATCTTTGCAGAGTTAGCATTAAGAAATGTAATTGCAATAAATTGATGTAAAAGCCAGATAGTAAAGGGACTAAAAGTCCCTACAGAGACACCAGTCTGTCACTTACAAAGATAGCAAAAGATAATTGTAGACAAGTACAGTAGAACTAAACCATTGCTGTTTTCCTTTAAAAATGTACTGCTGCTTCTCATGTTTTTCTGAAAAAATTGGTTACTTCCTCTGCTTCTGAAGTATGCCATGAACCATCAAAACAGGTAGAAAAAGATCTGCCTTTTATTTCTCCCCAATACCTTTTTAATTAGAACACACCAAAGAGCAAAACGGGGCGAGATACAATCCTGCGTGATTGCATTTTCCAGTAAATTGTTGGATCTCTTTTAAGTTTCTGAGCTCTGCATTGAAAATCTGGCCTCTGGCATAAACTTTGCCCTCCTCCTATGACATAATGAAGACATCTGCTTGATCATATCCTCTTTCTTCACACAACTTGTTTTCTGGCTCTAAAAAAATAGCCAGCACAAAGCCATGCAAGTACTGAAACACAGAAGATGATGCTGAAGCCAAACTGGAAGAGATTTTTTTTTTTTCTCCTAAAGTAGAATGCTAAAGCTTTTCCTTTTCAGGTACAGGCATCAGCAAGAAAAGAAAGGAAATAAGTAATCCCTGCTCACAGTTTGTATAAGCTTATTTGTTCTTCATTCTTAGAAGAGTTGTTCATTAACAAGGTATACCTCTGTGTTCCTTTTCCCATACAGGGAGGATTTTGCACCCCCTGAATTGTAACCACTCAGAGAACCCATATTTCGCATGTGCGCCCCTCCAGAGCAGCCAGACATGTACACATCACCCACTCCAGCAGCAACATTTTTTTTTGCAGGAAAAATCCTCTTCTTTCCTACATTATGTGCTTCAGTAAGTGAAAATGAATATTGGCTGAGACATGGGGTGAATCACCTCCATAGTGTGAATATCATAATTAAAATGTCTTTACAAAAAAAACACACAAAAAAACAAAAACGAGAGGGGGGAGAGAATGTATGGCTATTCCACATGATTAAACTTCTTGGTACTTGGATGTTCTCTGTAGTTAACTCAGGTGAACAGCCCCTTGCACTAACAAGGACCTGCATATAACCCCCCATAAAATATGGATTTTATTGCAGCAGTGACAACACTTCTCAGCACCACGCTGACCTCTCCAGCATCTCCCATCTCCGAGATCTCCGATAACTCTTGGCATAAGAATAACTACAGAAGTAATCCCAGCTCTGCAATACACAACATAGCAAGATTCCCTGTTACTAAATTCCGGAATATCGCACCGGGGGCGTCACTTTTCATGCGTCGGACACCGGAAAACCAGGCGCACTTGGTTTGCTCTCCAACCAGTCCGGGGGAGGCGTTTTCCCCCAGATTTGTGCCTGGCCAGCCTTGGAAGAGCTCAAGCGAGCTCCATCTTCCACATGACTTTTCCCTGGACAGTGTGCTCCATTTTCGGAGTCCAGTGTTGGACTTTCCTTGCAACCTAAGCATTTCTGCCCTATGTGAGCCGGCAGGCGTTGCCCCCGGCGTGCAAGCTAGCAGTGGTTTTTTTTTTTTTTTTCTCCAATCTTCTTCTCTGAGACAAATCATCTCTTTAGTCTAAGTTTTCCTTATTGGGAGCATTCGGGAGTTTTCAAGCTACCCAGTTTTCTGCTTTGGCTCCCAAACCAAGAAATGTAACCCGGCCAAAGCAGTCCCTGCACAGACCCTGTGATGTGGGCAGGTGGAAATAAATCAAGCCCCAAACCGCTCCGCGGGTCCTGCACGCACCAGCGCCCTTGGTAATTGACCAGCCAACTTTGCAAATGCCGGAGACCGCTTGGCAGCCTCTGCCGGCATAGAGAAAGGCAACGGGTTCTTCCCGGCGGCCCCGTCACATATGCCCCCACCAAGCCCCTCCACGGTCTTACCAGAAGGCGGAGGAGCGGCGCCGAAGCTCCCCGGGAACCGGCGCCCGTTCTGGGCAGCGGCAGCAGCGCAGCCCGCGCAGCCGGACCCGCGCGCCCGCCCCGACCCGGGCTCGCAGGCTGAACATCCCTCCCAACTCCAGCGTGCGGCACCCGCCGGGCGAAGAGGGCTCTCTCTCTCTGATTGGCTTCCATCAGCGCTACGGAATTAAAACAAGAAAAGGCATGCACCATCGCCAACTGAGACCGAACCCACCTCTGCTCGCCTTCCTGCTCCCGGGGAGACCCAGCGACCCGCCCAGGCTGCTCCTGCCTCGGCCGTCGCCGCCGCCGCTGCCGCGGTTGCCCGCTCAGCCGTTCTCGCTGCCGCGGCCGAAACTGCAGCTCGGGATGGGAAGGTTACGGGCTCTGGAGAGCTGGCTCTTGTGGGCACACACTGATTTGCAAGTGAATGAAGTGGGAGGGAGCAAAGAGAGGAGGACTTTGTTAGAGAGGCCCAGTGCCTGCCCCCGCCCGCCCCCTCCCCTTGACAGAATGACTCCCTGTGTTTGAAGTCCTGAGCGATTCGCTCCCTGTAACACTCCCTCCGCTCCAGGCTTTCCTTTCTTATTTTTTGGGGGGGGGGGGGTAAGACATATTCAGAACTTGCGTGACTTCGTCGGTTTCCTCTTTTACACTATAAAAGTGCACCTTGTGCCATCATCTGTAGCGGTTGGATATTCTTTTTTTTACCGACCAAGCAATTACAATTCCCAGGGACATGGTACCTCAGTTGGCCAGCTTCGTGTTATAGCACGCATAACATGCACACACATAAAACAAACCCGGTCTCCTGAGATAACAGTACTGACGGCTTTTCTTCACAACATAAACAGGCGTTCTCCAGACGCAAGCAGGCATAGATTCAGACGCGTCTTTCCTTTTCTAGGAAGACAAGTTTTCACATAGTCCTATGATCTCTGTCACTCTTTTGGAGTGAGTACCCCAAGATGTAAAATGAAGCCATGCTTCCTTGGGCTTGCAGAAACTGTCGAACCTAAACCCTTCAGGCTAACCACTGACTTATGGCTGATTCCATTTTTCTAAATGAGTTAATACAAGGACACAAAAGACTTGCAGAAGAGTGTGTAATGATATTCAGGTCTGCCTCGCATTTGTGATCTTTCATGAAAGTTCCTGAAGCAGGGTAACCTCCAAATTTGAACTGTTAGGTACACATAGCAGTAACCAAAAAGTAATTTCTAATATTAGGGAACTAAACTGCAAAATCTTAAGCATGTTGAAATATTATTAAGTGAGAGTAATGTTTTTCTACATAAAAGATATAGCCATGATGGAGCCAGGCGCTGTTGGATTAGGAAAATTAAATCTAATTACCATAGTGACTGCACCCGGGGTCAGTAGTATCCCAAACCAGCTGTCTGTGTATGCTTTAAGTTGAGGGGAGATTTCCACTGCATGGTGTGCTAAAAAGATCCAGGCTACTCTGGCCTCTGAGTGGTTAAACTGGTTGGAGGTTGGTTTCCTTCCCAACTGAGCTCTTACTAGAAAATCTTTTGTTTCTCCAATAGAAGTTCAGGCATTTAAATAAAGCCAAAATCAAAGTATTTCCTCTAGGCAGTCAGTGCTTCAAAGAAGTGTGCATGGAATGGTTTTAGCACAGATGTTCCACACATGGAAGATGGAAAGACTTTGAATTTCTTTCTTGAAAAGATCTTCCTTTAATGGAGAATTGCCACCAACTTAACAAAAAGGAGGCTGAACATTTTCTCTTCATGCAGCTATTCAGAATCTTGTAGAGAAAGGATAGGCGAGAAGAAAGCTGCTTCCATTCCTCAGATTATGAATTCTATACATTTAATTGGAAATACTAGATCCTTATGTTTTTACAGTCCTTTTTCGCTTACAGAGTACTTTCACAGATCATTTTATTGAATTCTTCTTTCAACAAGTGGTCTGATTTTTTTCCCCATTAAGACAAAGGAAGCAGATTGATGATGGCATTGCATGGGTTAAATAACATGTCCAAGGTAATGAAAACTGGAAAGCAGATGAGTCAGAAATACTACTGGTAAAACTGGCTATGTGTGTGTGTATGTCTGTGTATATACATACATGTATGTATGTGTATAATATATATATATATATATACCATTAAAAATTAGCCACATTTTAAGACTGCCTTTTGCAGAAAGACATGCAGAATAACTGATTTTTATGGTAAAAGTGGGATAATAGTGAAGTTAATGTTCTCCCCATTGAACAAGTTTATATCTCACAAAGGAAATCTTTAACTGTTTGAAATATACTACTCTTCCAACCCCACCAAACTACATATCAAAGGTGATTAAAGCAACTACTTGTTATTAGGAATGGATAAGCAATCAATTTGCTTTGAAATAGTTCAAGTGGCAACATTACATAAAGGACAGCACTTTTTAATACCAGAAAAGATTTTTGTGGGATATTTGAGGATTTCTAGCATTATTTACTACAATCATTGTTTTCAATTAAATATCCATAATTATTTCATTCTCATTTTGGAGATAAACTGAGAGTTATTAAGATCAAATGATTATCTGGTATTTAAATATCCAGAATTATTTAATTTTCATTTCAGAGATAAAAAACTGAGAGTTACTAAGGTTATATGATTATCCAGTGTCATGTTAGTACTATTTCTAGCTCATTCTCTGGCACACCAAAACATGTTGGCAAGTAACAGAAGCTAATTAGAGATAGTTAAACTGATAAGAGTCCATGCTAAAGGAGATCAGTCCTGGGTGTTCATTGGAAGGACTGATGCTGAAGCTGAAACTCCAATACTTTGGCCACCTCATGCGAAGAGTTGACTCGTTGGAAAAGACCCTGATGCTGGGAGGGTTTGGGGGCAGGAGGAGAAGGGGACAACAGAGGATGAGATGGCTGGATGGCATCACCGACTCGATGGGCCTGAGTTTGAGTAAACTCCAGGAGTTGGTGATGGACAGGGAGGCCTGGCGTGCTGCAATCCATGGGGTTGCAAAGAGTCGGACAGGACTGAGCGACTGGACTGAACTGAACTGAAACTGATAAGAGGGTCTTTGCTATCATCGTCTTCTCTTGAAACTCAAGAGTGGAAATTCTGCAGGGCTTCTGGAAAGGCTTGGAAGCAGGTATTGAGACACTACCGGCACTTGGCCTAGAGTCCTGTTTTCCTGTGCTCACTGTGCTTCTGCTTCTGTTTTGTCTCCCTTCACACAGACCTTCTCTGTTATTCAGTCAGACCTTCAGAGCAGTACCACTGACTGTACCAGAACTTACCTTTTGGAAAGAATGTTTCTCTTTCTACTTCATTTCCAGTTTCTTGGAAAGCAGTTCTGATTGGTCAAGTGTTTGCTGGACTAGTTTGCATGGGCTGGGGCTGGGGCAGAGGGAGGCAGCAGGGTCACCTACACAGAGCCCTTTCATGTGTTGCATGCTCACTCAGTCATGTCCGATTCTTTGTGGTCCCGTGGACCATAGCCTGCCAGGCTCCTCCATCCATGGGATTTCCCAGGCAAGAATACTGGAATGGGTTGCCATTTCCCTCTCCAGGGGATCTTCCCAACCCAGGGATCGAACCCACATCTGTTATGTCTTCTGTATCTGCATGCAGATTCTTTTACCCTCAGGACCCAAATGAAGGGCAGCAGCAAGGGAATGCTCTTGTGAACTGGGAATACATTCCCCAAAGTGTCCCATTCCACACATTCTCTTGTTTTGTTTAGTAATTTGGTGCAGCTGAAGTATCTCGTCAATTTTTAGACTACTTCGTTATTTTATATGCTTCAGTCAAAATGTCTTGTACTTCTCTCCTTTTACAGCTTGCAAAGTTTCAATTTTTAAAAAATACTCCTTCATAGACTATTACTAGGGATATTAATTTTGATGAGGGATTTTTTAACTTCCACTAAATCTCTCTTCAGATGATTAAGGAGTGATATTATCCTTATAGTGGGGAGGCATATAAATAAATAATTACATGTTTTCTGACTTTCTTTTCAGTAATGTGCATCTGTATGCAATGATTACCTGATAAAAACATTTTCATGATCATCAACAGTTATTCTTGATTAGGAGAAAAAAGTTCACTTTTAAAACCATGTGCCTAATTAAGAATCTTGGCATAGGTAGTTTTGCTTCATCCAAATCTTCTCTCTAAAGTTTGCCTCAAATGTGTTGTTACCAGAAAAAATCTACAGTGTTGACCAGAAAAAAGTCTACATGTTACAGTGATTATTACTTAGTTATCATGGTGTACACAAGTGAACAGATTTCAGTGAGGAATAAGGGCTATTTCCTGTCTTTGCCCCGTGTGTGCTCACATGCATATACACCCATGCATGCACACACACATCGGTGTTTAAGGGGGGAAAAAAGTTTTAACTACTCTGGGTGTTAATGAACTGAAACAAAGGAGATAGGAAACCTCGATGGAATTCCTCTTTTGTGAGAGCCATAGACATCTCAATACAAGCTAAAATAAAATCACACAAACTTCATGAGCTTATCCAGGTTTTCTTATTCTGGGAGAGTTTCCAATCCTGTATTTAAAATGGGTTGGATCCCAGGGTGCATTAAGACATTTCCCTCTTGATCATTTGACTCATCTCTATAGGTAGATTGCAATAGCCAGGAAATTTCCAAATTAGATGTTATTGACCTACACTGGACATTTGAATACTCAGGGCATTTCCAGGTTGGTAGAGTGGACTTCAAATTTGATTAATTATTTTATATTTTATTCACTGTGTAGTGGTAGAATCTAAATTTGTCTGATGAGATACATACAACTCAAGTTTGGTAGACTGTACTATGTCAGTGAAGGAGCATGTCCTGGTTTAGAAGGAACAACCTAGTAGGAGGATATGCACAGTGTCAGTGTATTCTCTTAAATAACTAGTGTAGACCAGAATAAACAGAAAATCCTACACTTGCATCCAATGTGCACATGCATGCCAAGTTGCTTAGTTGTGTCCAACTCTTTATGATGTTATGGACTATGGCCCGCCAGGCTCCTCTGTCCTTGGGATTCTCCAGGCAAGAATACTGCAGTGGGTTGCCATGCCTTCCTCCAGGAGATCTTCCTGACCCAGGGATCAAACCCACTTCTCTTATGTCTCCTGCATTTGCAAGCGGGTTCTTTACTACTAGCACCACCTGGGAAGCCCTACACTTACATCCAGAGGGAAAAATTCCTTTCTCTCACTAAT